AATGCTATAAAGTGTATAACCTTTCTTAAATTTGAATATCCAAGCATAACATATTTTTCTGCTCTTGAACCAAATTTATCGTAAACATTAGGTATAAAAGCAAAACACAAACAAGCAAAATTCCAAAGATGAGTGAGAACATAAATAAGTAAACGGCCCCTTAAATCATCTAATTACTTATACTTGAATAATCAAGATTTGTTAGAGACGTATTTTCAATTGATATCAAAAGAAAACATTTAATACTTTTGAACATTGTCAATCGCTAACAAGACTTCAAAAGTTTTGCAAAACAGTTAAAAAAATATAGAAATAATCATTAACAATTAAGAAAATATTCTTAAATTCATTAAATAATCAAACAAAGTTAATAAAAAAATAATTAAAAATAAAATGAGCCAACTTGACATTTTAGTATCAACTGATAACATAACTAAAAAATAAAGAAATTATGAAAAAATTATATAATTAAATTATTATAAAAATAAGAAACTTTTGTATAATTAAGTTACATTTCTCATTTAAAAAAGAAAAACGTAATTGTACAAAGTCTGAGTAGAACCTAGGATGTGTGATACAATGTCCTAAAAGGATTTAGCCAATCATGCTACAATCGAAGGCTCCCAAAACCGACCCTGATAACATATTGTTCATAAATTAAATAATATTTAAAATACGAGAAAAAACATATTATCAATATAACCAAGTATTTTGTAAAAGAAAGAAAAGGAAAATCTTCTTAAGCATATCTACAATAAATTGCTCAGATGTCTAGAAATACACACACATATATAGTTAATATATTTTTTATGGTTAACTCATTCCATTTAAACATATGAATTGAGCTCGTAGTAATAGTTAAAGAAAATGCTACCAATACAATATAAACTATAAAAAACACACAAACGTCATAATCAACATAATTTCAATTAAAACGAATACAATAACGTATTAATCTATTACCAATACGAACACGCTTTGATTATTGTCTTCACTTCCGGAACTCGAAGTCATATTGTCATCGTAAACCATTTTAACCTTCCCATTATTGTTGAGTTGTTTTTCAATGGGTTTATCCATATTAGCTTGAACAATATCGAAAACTTTACTATCAGATTTCTTTTAACAATCACAAATTCAAGAATATTATATATAGATAAATCAATACTATAGAAAAACAAGATCAATAGTAAATCTACAACAATTATGTGATTTTTTGATTTTGTAACTCCCAATTAATGATATGAGAGTTACATACAAACTAAAAATTACATATTTACCCTTGTCATTAAATTATGAGATGGATATTAACTTGGATAAAAGATGGATTTTCATTTGTTGAACTTGGTTAACAAAGTTATCACAATAATCTTGGTTAATATTTGAACCAAGCTCTCTCTCTCTCTCTCTCTATATATATATATATTATGAAGAAATTATAATTTATAAAATACATAAATTAAAATATTTGACAATAAAATCTTAATGATTGGTTAAATAGTGTCCATATATTGATGACAAGATACGATAAATATGTAGTAGTACGAATGAGATGTTAAGACTTGTATGGGATACCTTAACCTTATTCATTAAAATATATATGGTCCCTTCTTCACAAATGAATAATTAATAATGGTTTTGGATGTTTTATAAATATGGACAAAGAGGTGAGTTGGAAGGATAAGGATTTATGGATTCTTCCATGTTTGGAGTTGCCACATAATCCTTTCCATACCCATGGGATCTACTCATCTACCCCTACATATACATATACATATACATATACATATACATATACATATACATATACATATACATATACATATATATGATAACAATACCTAAACAAAAGAATAAAAAAGGGTCGAATTCTATGTGATTTTGCAATATAATGATGTGTAAAATCACATGTAATTCATGCTACTTTAGGTCGCAGGCCAAGCATCCGCACACAGTTTTGTTGACCGTTAATATAAAATCACATGTGATTTTGCACTTGATTTGTTTGTGTTCGTATTCTCTTATGTAGTTAATATTCTCGTTTGAACCTACCTCTCTCTCTCTCTATTTCTCTTTATTTTATATATAGGGTTGGGTTCCGGTGAGAATCGTAAGAAGAAATCTCCACCCTTTGATGCACATTAGAATGGGATGCACCGAGATGAGATGCATCGGATCAATCGCCATATAAAGTGCGATTCATGAGTGGACTTGAGATTAAAGATGATCACGGTTCTAATAAATAATGTTAACTTTATGAACCAATCTTAGCCCTTCATCTTGGAAATCTATGGTTTACATTTATCATGACATTTTTGTAATAAATTAGATCATGATGCTTTATAGTCATAGATGAACACTTATGAACATGGGTATATTTGAAAAGGAAGTTGTAAAGATTTTCGTAACATCCATGTTCTATTTTAGTAAACACATACATTATGTAATCTTGTTCATATATGAAATAAATGTTGAATGATATTTGGTTCACCTATGAACAAACATCGAATTATGCTTATGAACAATGTTTATGTGTTTACTTCTGGACACCGTTCAATTCCTTTAAAATAATTGGTAATTTTTACATATCTAGTTTTTGTTATGTGTTTGTGGTTATCAGGTTCACATATAAATACAATATTTTTTAAATGTTGAAACGAGATGATTCAGCTATGAACAAATGTTTACTCAGATATAATTAAGAAATGTAACCGACAATTAATTTGCATAAATATTCACAATGGCAAGACATGAAGTAATTAAGAAATGTAACCGACCCATTACATTAATAGAAAGATCAAATAAAAAATCACATTTTTACCCTCATTAAATAAATTTTTCATGTGCATCAACCACAAGCGTATCTTGTTTTCTATTAGTTCATTAAAGTTTGTAAAGTTAACATATTTTAATTTGTTAATAAAAGATCTCTCTCTCTCTCTCTCTCTCTCTCTCTCTCTATATATATATATATA